TTGGAGTCAGTAAAGCGCAGGCGTGACCTGTGGTTGACTGTGACTAGTCAAGTGGACGTGTAATTAAAGGTCTGTCTACTCAACAGCTATTCCTGGAATACCAACACACCCGCTCCACCCCCAGCCTACCCCTACTCTTGCGGTACACACACACAGCGACACACAGCCACATACAGAGCAGCTGGAGACTCAGGAGCTGTCTCTAAACAAAACAGAGTAACTGTCTGTCCAGGAAGGATGGGGAGTGTGGGTGTCTTATCTGTGGAGATGGTTAGTAACTGTTACGATAGGAGCAGAGGGGAAAAAAAATGGCAGTTCTCCTGGCACAAAATATACTAAAGTCCTTCTACCAACAACAGTCTTTCTAATTTTGGCAATTACAGAGTAAGATTGCCTTTTCTCTTCTCACTCAAGAGGAAAGGCTGCCAGTGTGTGAGATTCGACAACTTACAAATCTAGTGATCATTCTAGAGAGAGATGTAATGTTAAAAAGACACATTCAATTGCAAAAAAAGACCTAGCCACTACTTAAGGTGATCTTCATTTAAGAATTGCCAGCTGCATCTATTGATATAATCATGGGATTTTTGTCTTTCATTTTGTTTATGTGATGTATTACATTTACTGATTTGCAAATACTGAATCACCCTTGCATCCCTGGGATGAATCCCACTTGGTCATGGTATATGATCTTTTTAATGCATTGTTGGATGTGGTTTGCCAATATTTTGTTGAGGATTTTAGCGTCTATGTTCATCAGCAATTTTGGCCTGAAGTTTTTTTCTTTGTTGTGTCTTTATCTGGGTTTGGGATTAGGATGATGTTGTCTTCATGAAAAGCATTTGGGAGTCTTCCATCATTTTGGGTTTTTTTGGAATAGTCTGTGAAGGATAGGAATTAGCTCTTCCTTAAATGCTTTGTAGAATTCTCCTGTGAAACCATCTGGTCCAGGGCTTTTGTGTGTCGAGAGTTTTTTGATCATTGATTCAATTTCATCTGCTGTTATTGGTCTACTCAGGCTTTCTACTTCTTCTTCATTGAGTCTTGGAAGATTATACCTTTCTAGAAATTTGTCCATTTCACCTAGGTTTTCAAATTTCTTGGCATACAGTTCTTCACAGTAATTTCTTACAGTCCTTTATATTTCTGTGGTGTCAGTTGTAATCTCTCCTCTTTCATTTCTGATTGTGCTTATTTGGGTCCTCTCTCTTTTTTCCATGATGAGCCTGCTTAGAGGCTTGTCGATTTTGTTTATCTTTTCAAAAAACTAGCTCCTGGATTCATTGATCCTTAGAATTGTGCTTTTAGTCCCTATGTCATTTAATTCTGCTCTGATCTTGGTTATTTCCTTCCTTCTACTTGCTCTGGGCTATCTTTGTTGCTGTTCCTTGAGTTCTTGTAGGAGTAGGGTTAGGCTGTTTGTCTGAAATGTTTCTGTCTTTTTTAGGTAGGCCTGTATTGCTATGAACTTCCCTCTCAGGACTGCTTTCACTCTGTCTCATAAGTTTTGGATTGTTGTGAGTTCATTTTCATTTGTTTCCAGAAGCTTTTTAATTTCTTCCCAAATTTAATTTTTGACCCACTCATTGTTTAAGAGCATGCTATTCAATATCCATAATTTTGAGTGTTTTGGGTTTTTTCCCTTGGGGTTGGTTTGTAGTTGCCAATGATACCTCAGATATGGGTTTAATCTCCAAAATATACAAAGAACTTACACGACTCCTCTCTAAGAAGACAAGCAACCCAATTAAAAAGTGGGTAAAGGACTTGAACAGACACTTCTCCAAGGAGGACATACAGAGGATCCAGAGGCACATGAAGAAATGCTCAATATCGCTAGCTATCAGAGAGATTCAAATTAAAACCACAATGAGATACCACTTTACACCAGTCAGCATGGCCATCATAAACAAAGCAACAAACAAGTATTGGAGAGGTTGTGGAGAAAAGGGGACCTTAGTTCACTGTTGGTGGGATTGCAGACTGGTACAACCACTATGGTTAACAGTATGGAATTTTCTAAGAAAACTAAAAATGGATCTGCCTTTTGACACAGCAATTCCACTGCTAGGATTATATCCTAAGAATCCTGAAACATCAGTCCAAAAGAACCTACGCACCACAATGTTCATAGCAACACAATTTACAATAGCCAAGCATTGGAAGCAACCTAGGTGCCCATCAGTAAATGAATGGATCCAAAAACTATGGTACATTTACACAATGGAATTCTATGCAGCAGAAAGAAAGAAGGAGCTTCTACCCTTTACAACAGCATGGATGGAACTGGAAAGCATTATGCTAAGTGAAATAAGCCAGGAGGTAAAAGACAAATACCACATAATCTCACCTTTAATGGGAACTAAACAACAAAATAAACAAGCAAGCAAAATATAAGCAAAGAAACTGAAATAGAGAACAGGCTGACTGTGACCAGAGAGGAGAGGGGAGGGAATTTCAGGGGAAAAGAAGAAGGATTTACAGCAACAAGTATAAAGGACACATGGACAAAAACTAAGGGGGGTGGAAATGGGAGGGAGGTGAGGAGCTGGGGGGGTGGGCTGAGATGAGAGTAAAAGATAGAAAACTGTACTTAAACAAAATTTTTTTAAAAAAGAAGAAATAACCAATTTAACCTAAAAAAAAAGAATTACCAACCACTGAGTAAAATAAAAACCATGAAAGAAAATAAAAAAGAAAAAATAATTAAGTGTGATAACTGACTCTGGAGAAGAGATAATGAGGGAAAAAAAAGAAAAATCTTAAAATTGAAAGGTCTCTTGGTTTTTTTTAGATTAGAAAAATAATGCTTCTCAGATAAGATCAAATTCAAGGAGTTCATCATCACCAAGCCCTTATTATATGAAATGTTAAAGGGACTTACCTAAGAAAAAGAAGATAAAAAAGATGAACAGTGAAAGGACAGCAAATTCACAGTTATTAAGAACCACACCTAAAGCAAAAGCAAACTAAGAGGACAGCTAGATCAGGAGCAGAACCATAGAAATGGAGATCACATGGAGGGTTAGCAACAGGGGAGTGGGACAAGGAGAAGGGGGAGAAGGTACAGAAAATGATGGTAGGTAGAAAATAGATAGGGGGAGGGCAAGATTAGTATGGGAAATATAGAATCTAAAGAACTTGAGACATGTGGTCATAAACTAAAGGGGGGGAGTGGTGGGGAGAGGATGTGCAGGGGGAGGAGAATGAAGGGGGGAATAGAACAACTGTAATGAAATAATCAATAACATATATTTTTTAAAAAGAACATGGAAAAAAATTTTAAAAATAAAAATAAAAGTGCCATCCTTTGCGGAAAAAAAAAAAGAAAAATAATGCTTTGAAAAAGAAAAAATAAAAGTTGGATAAAGTTCATTTATCCTTCCATGTATACTCACAATTTCCTATAAATTAATATGCATATGCTGTCATTATCATGACAATGATGCCATACACATAATGCTTTCAACTTTTACAAATTACTATAATTTCACTTTCACTAAGATGTGTACTGCTGCCTAAGCTATAACAGTGATGATTAGACACGACACTCAGTAAAAAACTCAGTAAGCAATTTCCTGGATGTGCATAATGCACTTTCCAAGAGAAAGACAACATACAGGCCAGGAAATGCTAGGGCCAATAGGTTTCTGTACCCTACTATACCAAAACTTTTGGGATTCTTCCCATACATAACCAATATCTTTAGGACATATTAAGTCCAGCCTGAGCAGTTCGTAGAGACTCAACAATGTAACAGATACACTCAATCTGCCTGTCTTTGAAGATCAGCCATTGCCAGTATTTAAATCCAATTTGGGGAGCAGAATCCATGTTCTGGAGAAGGCCCCTGAAATTATCTCAAGAGATATGAGCATTACGTGGCTCAGATCTTCTGGGAAAACTTTAAAATGAAATCAGTCTGTACAATGAGGCCTAGAGATAAGACATCATCTGTCCTCAGCTTTTTCAAGTGTATCACTTATGATACGCTTATTCATTTATGAAGAAACTCATGTCTTGAAAAAGTTAAGTTAGATTTTGCCTTTGAAAGAGCTTTTATGATATCCACAGAGAACCTAACATAGTTTTTCTATTGCATGTAAACAATGGAAACTTGTTAAAAGGACAAATAATATTTTTATCAATCATCAGAAGTCTGCTTGGCCTGTATCATACTATACAGCTGAAAGCCGTATTTCTAGGGCCCTTCCCATATGACCAATACAAAATACCTGAGTGTTAGCTATTATTTAGTTGTCGAACCTAAATAAAACTATAGATCTGACAAAGTTTATCTTCAGAGTTCCAGGCTCAGCTTTCTGTAGTGTTTGTCCCAATGGTGCTAACCTTTTCCTCCTGCTCACCTGCCAGTTCTTTTCCATATTTAGGTCTTTTTTCAGAGTCAGCAAGCCAAAAAGGACCCCAGAAATAATCTAGCCCAATGCCTTTATTTTAGAGAAAAGTAAGCTGATGCTTACACAGTTAAAGCGATTTACCCAAGGTCACACAGGTGATGAGAGATGAAGCTCAGACGAGAACTAGGCCTCTGATACCCTATGCAATGTTCGTTCTACCACACCAAGGTACCTCTTTAAAAACTGCAAAGGATGTGATACTTATGCATGTCTGCAGAGCCCTAAACCTCCTAAAGTTTTTCCTTCTTGGTGCAATAATTCATCAACTTTCAATCACTAATAACCTTCTTCTTATTAATTCTATACTCCGGACAAAACAGGAAATGATTCAGTATACATGTACACAAGCTAATTAATTTACTGTTTTTAATTTTATATCTACCTTTTAAAATGGAAAACACTCTAATACTTCCCAAATCAAAAAAATTATAAGACTTAATGATTATATCCACAATTTAAATTCAGGAAAAAAATCAGAATTACCTTAGCTGCTTACTTTGCAAAAACCAATGCTATAATATTTATTTCATTTCCTTAAAAGAAAAGCCAGGAAACACACATTGATTCCATTTCAATACTCACCACAGAAGTGATCTGATTGTGTCGCAGGTTAAGTTCAGTTAGTGAATTCAGCCCATTAAGGTTATCAACGTGACTTAAAAGGTTCCTGGCAAGGTTTAACACTCTCAAGTCACATAAATGATTGACATTTTCAATTTTGGTAATCTGTTAAAAATGAGGAAGGGATGATTAGTACGCACAAATCTCAGACACATATGTTATAATAACACAAAAATAAAATATGTAGCCATTGGACTAAGGGACAAGTTTATATGAAGATATTTAAAAACCTATTTCTCATCTCAGTCACATCAGAGAAATGGTGGTTGTTAGAGATCCCCTTGGTCTCTCCCCTTTAAGTTTCAACAATTCGAACAGCTGTAATTCAACAAAAGATTCCCTGCTAAATGTACAAATGAGTCTAAGAGATCCATGCATTGAAACATCTAAAGGTGGGCAAGGGGGAGTGAACCAAACTGGGGAGACAAGAAAGGAAAACAGCTCAAAGGAGCCATAGACACAGCCCTGCATCCCAAAGCTCACTGTGGGAGCTCAGCCTGGAGCAAAGAGGAATCAAATTGTGGTTGGCATATCCTTCAGCCAGAAGGGGAAGAAAGATTTAGAGAGCATTCCTGCAGAAATGGACAGTACAAATTGCAGCTGAGCAGTGACCTGAAGTAACAAAGCACAGAGATACAGCCGTGGTTGCACAAAGTCTAGCCGACTTCCTTTACCCTCCCAGAGCTCATCTCTCCTCGTCTCTCCTTACTCCTCAGTTACAGAGTATAATACAGTATCTGCAAACCTGAGAACGAGTGCTACAGAAACACTTTCCCTGAGCCACAGGAGAGCTCAGTGACTAATCCCAGGATCTAGTGGAGGCACTGGGGTGAACCACAGGAGTCCAAGGTGGTCTTTGCTGGAAGGACAAAACAAAAAAGGAGGCATCGAGGTTCCCCCAGCTCACCCTACCACCACACATCAAAGCTGCACTGCTGACAGCATATGGCTGCAGGGGACAGCACTGGGATGTCACAGATTTGAAGCCCTATCACCTACGAGGTTCCCCTGCAGGGTTGGTCCCCTGGGACCAGAAGACTGCTTCACAGGGGAGGTGTCCCCATTCCCAAGGAACACAAGCCATTTTCTACTAATCTGCAGAGATCTGAAATGCCAGAGAAATGCAAGAGAGCTAAACAAAGAAACAAAACCTTCTGATTCAGTGCTACCTACTGGAAAACAATAGAGAGACCTCTTACTGATCTATTAGAGAAGTTCCATTCACACATAGATGCTTAGACAAAGACTCCATCAAATACCATGAATTAAACCAAGGTAATGAGGCAGCTCAGAAAGAAAATGAAAGTTTTCCAGAAAATAAATGTGAAGACATAGAAATATGTGATTTAAATGACAGAGGATTCAAGATTACAGTTCTGAAAAACTCAACCTGACATGCAAGAAAACACAGAGGCAGTTTAATGAATTCTGAAACCAAATCAATGAACAAAAAGAATACTTCACAAAAACCTGAAACTTTAATAAAGAACCAAATAGAAATTGTGGAGGTGAAGAACTCAATAAAAGAGGTAAAGAATGAACTAGTGAGCACAGGAAATACAGCTGACCTGGTGGAGGGAAGAAATCTAGAAATGACACAGAGGGAAGAAGAGAAACACTTGAGCATTAAAAAAATGAAAGAACTCTACAAGAACTATCTGACTCCATCAGAAAGTGCAACGTAAGGATAACAGACACACCAGGAGAAAAAGAAAGGGAGAAGGAAACAGAGAGCTTGTTTAAACAAATAGTTGATGAGAACTTCCCAAACATATGGAAAGAACTAGATCCTTGAATCCAAGAAGCAAAAAGACCACCTAATTACCTCAATCCAAAACAACCTTCTCCAAGGCACACTATATTAGAACGGTCAAAAAATTAATGATAAAGAAAGAATTCTCAAGGCAGCCAGGGAAAAGAAGAAAGTGACCTGTAAAGGGAAGGGAGTACACCAGGTTACCATTGGACTTCTCAGCAGAAACTCCGTAAGTTGGGGGAGAGAAACTACCAGCCAGGAATAACATATCCAGAAAAGTTTTCCTTTAAATACAAAGTAGAAATAAAGACTTTCCCAGACATACAGAAACTGAGGGCATTCATCACCAGAAAACCTCTGCTGCAGAAAGTACTCAAGGGGGTTATTCTACTTGAAACAAATAACAAAAAGTCAGAAAACCATAAGTAAGATCACCAACAAACTTACAGCACAACAGGAATAATTTGTGACTATAAAACATAAAAGGAGAAGAGAGAAAAAGTCTGAATTTGTTAAGGACAGTGGGGATCAGATGCATTCAAAAGAAAAATAACATATATATATATAATACATATATATACACACATATATATAAAACTTTCTTTTTTAACATTTAAAAAATATTTTTTAAATTTTTAATTAATGAATTTATTTATTTACTTATTTATTTTTAGAGGGAAAGAGAAGGAGAAAAGAAGAGAAATATCAATGTATGGTTGCCTCTCATGGGTCCCCTGCTGGGAACTGGCCTGCAACCCAGGCATGTGCCCTGACTGGGAATCGAACCACAATCCTTTGGCTCGCAGGCCTGTGCTCAATCCACTGAGCTACACCAGCCAGGAAAACTTTCTTTTTTATAAACCTAATGGTAACCACATACAAAAAAACAAAAACTGAGACATGTAACTTCAAAAAAATGAAACAGAGAAAGTACCAAAAAACAAAAGCAACAGACAAAAACACAGAGCTAAAGAACCAATGGAGGCACAGAAATATCAGAAAACAAAGGATAAAATGGCTACAGGAAGTCCCCATACATCAACTGGAAAGCATTATGCTGAGTGAAATAGGCCAGGTGTTGAGAGACAAATACCATATGATCTCACCTTTAACAGGAAGCTAAACAACAAAACAAACAAGCAAGCAGAATAAAAACAAAGACACTGAAATAGAGAACAAGGGGACAGTGACCAGAGGGAAGAGGGAAGGGAATTTAAGGGGGAAAAAGGGGGAGGGATTTGGAGGAACAAATATGAAGGACACAGGGACGAGAACTAAGGGGGGTGGAAATGGGAGGGAGGTGGGAGCACAGGGTGGGGGGGCTGGGATGGGAGAAATAGATAAAAAACTGTACTTGAAAAATAACTAAATAAATTTTTTTAAAAAATCCTCATACATCAGTAATTACCCTAAATGTAAATGGATCAAATTCACCACTAAAGAAGCACAGAGTAGCAGACTGGGTTTAAAAAAAAAACACAAACAAAACATTGTCTGCCTTCAGGAGACACGTTTAAACCACAAAGACAAAGATACTCAAAGTGAAAGGGTGAAAAATGATTCTCCAAGCAAATAGCAGCCACAGAAAAGCAGGTATAGCCATGCTTATATTTGATAGAATACATTTCAAGATAACACAGGTAAGAAGAGAAAAAGATGGACATTTTATAAGGATAAAGGGGACACTACATCAAGAAGACCTAACACTCCTCAATATATATGCACCCAATCAGGGAGCACTAAAATATATAAAGCAACTACTAACAGAACTAAAAGGAGAAACTGACAAAAACACAATCAGAGTAGGGGAAATAAATACTCCATTGACAGCTCTAGACAGATCATCCAAACAGAAAATCAATAAATATCGGCCTTAAATGACACATTACATCATATGGACATAGCTGATGTTTACAGAGCCTTTCTTCCCAGAACATCAAATTATACCTTCTTCTCCAGCGCATGTGGAAAATTTGCAAGGACAGACCATATGTGTAGTCACAAAACTAGCCTAAACAAACTCAAGACTGAAATAACACCAAGCATACTCTCTGACCACAATGCTTTGAAATTAGAAGTCAATAAGAAGAGGAAATTAAAAAACACAAATATGTGGTGATTAAACAACATACTACTAAAAATGACTGGATCAAAGGAGAAATAAGTTGAGATCAAAGATAAATAGAGACAAATGAGAATGACAATATGATGTATCAAAACTTGTGGGATGCAGTGAAAGCAGTAGTAAGAGGGAAGTTTATACCATTACAGACCCAGCTCAGGAAACAAGAGAAATTTCAACTAAACGATCTAACACTGCATCTTAAAGAACTAGAAAATGAAGAATAGAAGCGACCCAAAGTCAGCAGAATAAAGGAAAAATAAAATTTAGAGGAGAACTGAATGAAATAGAGAAAAAGACTATACAAAAATTTAGTACAACAAAGAGCTGGCTCTTTGAAAAGAGTAATAAAATTGACAAGCCCCTGACTACATTTCAAGATACATTTAGTCAGTCTGACTAGACTGACTAGGGAAAAATGAGAAAAGCCTTACATCAGAAACACATCTGAACAAAATCAGAAATGAAAGAGGATAAGTTCCCACAGAATCATAGATATACAAAGGATCATACTAGAGTACTATGAAGGATTATATGCCATGAAATTCAATAACCTAGAAGAAGTGGAAGAGTCTCCAGAAATATATAACCTTCCTAAACTGAATCATGATGAAATAAAAGATCTAAATAGACTGATAAACAGTGAAGAAATTGAAACAACCATCAAAAACCTCCCCCCAAAATAAAAGGACCAGATGACTTCACTAGTAAATTCTACCAACACTCAATGAATGTTTGATACTGTTAGGTTAGGTTAGGGTTAAATTAGCAGGGAGGACGAGGCAGGCACCAGACTATCTCAGCAAGGGAGATAGAAAAGTAAAAAAAAAAAAAAAAAAAGTACAACCCGCCTGTGTATGACCTTGTCTTTGCATGGCCTTGTCTTTGCAGAAAAGTATCCATTGTAGTAAGCAGAGATGTGTGTGTGTCCTCTCAAAATAGCCAATTGCTAACAGCTACGTCTGCTTCTGTATTTGCTGCTTGCTTGCTTGCTCGCCCCAATAAAAACCCCAGGCTGTAAGCGCCAGGCGCGACTCTCATCTGCAGCCAATTTGGCACCGTGTCTCCGGAGGCACCCCGAGAGTTCGCCCCTGCGCAGGTAAAACTTTGAAACTTTGGCCAATAAAGTTCCATCTTAAACTCCTGAAAGCTTCCGAGATTTGCTCGCATTGGGGTATGTTACAATATCCTCAAACTCTTCCAAAAAAAATTGAAGAAGAGGCAATG